CCAATATCTGGATTCAAAGACAGAACAATCTTCGTTATGGTAGATAGATGTTTATTAGTTAATCTTGATCTGTAAGCTGTTTTATTTAATTTCAGAAAAATTACATTGAGGCTGCCAATTTGACACTCCTGCCCTAAAGTAATCCATGCATAACATTGTTTTTAAGATACTGGTTTTAAAAAAAAATGAAAAACTTTACTAATTTTATTTATTGCATATTTAATTTATAGTTGTAACACAATAACAACATAACAATTTTCACTCTCACTTTTTCATAGCCTTATGACTACTTAGTTTATAGTTCATATAGTATTAAAAGATAAAAATATATCAAGAGAAAAATTAAATTATTTGTATATCTTATAGATATAAATTACCTGTAATTTGTAGTAATGTATTTTATAATGAATTAACCTACTAATTAAATAAAAATAAGTGTTCTTTATGATATTCTTTATTAAAATAGGTCTTCTTAATATATATAAAGATTATTTACTGTCAGTCTCAGTTGTATAGTTGACACTTTATTCTCATTTTCATGAAAGTAGCCATACAAAAATGTTTAATATCAATAATAATGCTCATAACTATCAAGGTTACTTTGTCATTATATTAAGGAAAGTCATCCAGTTGATAAGTAAAATTGCCACTAGCAAAGTAAGCAACTGGAACATTCTGGACTTTGCGGGTTGCACCAAATTTTTTTCAAATAAACTGTACACACCAACTTTTTGTCATAATTTTTTGCAGAAAGTGCATGAATTATTCAAGTGCATTTGGTATTAAATGTAATAGAATTGATAAAAAAAAAATTTTTTTATTATAAAGACTTCAGTCTAATCTTACTTGTAATGAAAATTTATCCTGTACAGTGCAAGTTACAACTTCATTATTAAAATAAAAAATAGAATGTTTTGTGTATTCAATGCAACAGAATCTCTTCTGTGTTAAAACTGAGTTTCTGAAAATTGATATTACCAAAGCATTGATAATACTGTATTGTGGATGGACTGATGTACAAAATATTGTTTATGCAAAATGACTTTTTGAGACGCTCTGCCCAATTATTTGTTGGTTTGAAAAATATAAAATTTAAGACACTTAAAAAAAGGTTTTGAATCCAAGTTCTCATTGAAGATAAACAGTTTACAAGTCCACAAAGAATTGTTACAAAGAAAAGAAACCAGCCAAATCTTATTGTGCATATTTGAACCGGATATTAAAAATTGATTCACTTGCTGATGTGGATGCACCATTGATCTTTTGGTGTTATAGAATCTTAGATGACAAAGTACGCAAATCTTTTCTTCATGGAGTGAAAACCATTAAATAATTTGAAAAAAAAAAATTTTTTTTATGAGTCAATTAAACAAAACATGAAACAAAATCTAAGATATTCATGGAAAAATCTTCATCTGGTGATATATACAATCAATTTAACTATGGAAAAGAAATCATGTCAGCTGTAATTGTCTTGATAAATTAAAAGAAAAGAAATCATATGTGAGCTCAGGATTATTTTTGCATTTTTTTAAAAAGAAAAGAAATGCTTCCATTGACAGGAATTTGCATGTTGCATCAGAATATTTTATGTAAATATACTGTTATATAAATTTTAAGCTGTAAGAACTGTAGGATAATTTTTAAGTATAAAATTATAAAACAATGAAATACATAATGGTAAATGTAATATATATGTTTTGAGATTTCTAATTTTATTTTTTAAAAGTCATTTAATGGATATAACCATAACTTTGAAACTTTTCAAGATGTCAAAAACTGTTCATTGAAATACCTTGGGACCAGCAGCACTATTAGCAACATAATTCCAAAAACATTTCAATGAAAAGTTTTTGACTTCTTGAAGATTGAAAGTTCTAGTTGCAAAGCATTGAGAAAAAGTTTAGAAAATAATATTTTTCATTTTTATTTAACCATATTTCAGTTATAACCAGTTAAATATTTTTTATTTTTTCAGTTTGTTTACATTTAATTTTAAATTGAATTTATATAGATTAATACTGTATATTAAAATACCATATTTATTTGCTTATAAGACGATCTTGCATATAGGATGAGGTGTGACTTTAAAGATCAAAATAAAGAAAATTAGATTTATTAACACAGTTTAATTTTATTTTGTTTAATCACAAATAAAATGTCAAATGCACATAAATGCACACATTGTTCTTCAAAAATTACTGGCATTTTAAACTTTAAGGAAAAATATTGTAAAATTGACAACATAATTTGTACATGTAAAGCTGGACAAGAACCTTTTTTGCCAATTCTTAATAGTCGAATCCACTCTGTGATTACACTTAGAGTTTCTCTGAATTCTGATTTCCGAATAATCATCTGTTTTCAGGTGGGAATGGATTAAAACTTATATCGTGCTCCCATGTGATTTTGGAATTTCAATCTTGAATTCAATTCAAAAACTTTGCTTTTCCTATTGCTATTCATCTTTACTCCTGACAATACACAAGAATGGTTGAAATGACCTAAATAAAATACTTTTGTTTTTAAACACCAGAGGGTGAGCATCTGGTAAAAAATGTGAACACACGGTTCACAAAATTTATTATAAAATTCAAAGAATCCTTCGCTCGCATGTGTAAGACGACCTAGGTTTCTGAAGCAATGAAAAATGAATAAAAACCTCATCTTATATGCGAGTAAATACGGTATCTTAATCTAGTTACAAAAATGTAATATCTATTAAATTTCTTGCATTAAAATTTTTTTCTTTATAAGTTGATATAAGTTCTTTATATTTAGGATATTTTATAAAATATCCTAAATAAAAATGTATGCATCCAATTCTGTTTTTACAGAATAGATATGATTCCAAAATAATCTGTGTAAAATACAGAATTGGGTGTATATATGTTTTGTTCAAGATATTGTATTTTGAAAATATATATTTGAATTCATTTTTATTTAGAAGAAAAATATATGAATAGCTATTTATTTAAATTAAATTAGAAATATATTAAATATTTTAGATGTTGCTCGAAACTTGGTGAAAGAACAACATGGAGTTGGAAAAATGGTTGATTTGCTTAGAAGGCTATTAAAATTAGAAGAAATTCCAGATAGTTTGCGTAATGTAGCATCAGGATGTCTTTTAAATTTGACTGATACTTATGGTGAGTTACTTAAATCTTTTTCTTTTTATCTTACTAATAACAGAAAAAATTCTAGAAAATTTTATTTCTTCGTTTTTCTTTCTTGCATTGAAACCACAAAAAATTATTATAAACTATGTTCACTGTTCTTATGATGCTAGTTAGTTTTTTTTTTTGTAAATTTTATGTATAATTTTTATTAACATTGCAATTGTTTACAGTATTTTTTAGCATTTAGAATGTTCTGTTATAAGCTTTCTTGTAATAAATAATTTTGATAAATCCTTCTTATAATAGTTATCTATGAGTAGTAGTTTGAAAGTAATAAGACTGTTGTTTCAAATAAGTTATTTATTTAAAATAAAATTTGATTTTTGTTGCTTTTTAAAATATTGCCTTCCAGTAATATTTGTTAAAATAACAAAAAATAACAATGCTGTTTTAATTAAAAATTTTTTCTTCCTTATTATGTGCATTGTCTATTTCTTTCTTGTTCATGAATTACAATATTATTTTTAAATGCTGTTTTCCAGTATTTCAATTATTTTTAATTCAAAGATACTTTTGGGATTTGCCAGATGGTTGTAATTAAAGTACCTTTATTCAATGCTGTCTGTAGATTTTTAGCAGTCTAAATGCAACCAGATCTGTTATAATGACATTTTAAGACATATGGAGGATATTTTTGTAAAAAAACAAAAGTTATTACCAAAACTTACCACAATGGCACTTTTGGCACTGCATGCAACAAACAATATCTGTAGAACATTTTACTTTCACAAAACACTCATGTTATACAGAGACTAGTTATGCAGGAGATACTACTCAGCAATAATCTCCATTATGAAAGTTTTACACCTTGAGAATGGAGATCATATTGAGCAATGTTCCCTGTATCCTACCAGTATTGGCAATAAACAGTGTGCTCAATTACTGATTAATTGATCCTTGGTGATACTTCTCATTTGTAAGGTGGTACCATGTTTCAAAGCTGTTAAATTTGTAAATGTTCTCAATAATCCATACTTTTTAAGTTTTCTTACAACCAAAAATCACATGGATTAAGATTCAAAGAATGAAGTGGCCAGATGGTAGGAAATGCACAGCTATTTATGCTATTAATAGTGAAATATTGTCACAGGAATTTCTGTATGTAGCATTTGAAATGTGGAGATGTTCTATCTTGCATGAAAGTGATTGAACTTAAGACATTATCACTTTTGCAATTGGGGTATGACAAGTGTTGAGCATCTCAGCATCTCTGGCCTATCATAGAGCATGTCACAGACTAATTGATACTAGTAAAATTTGTTGTTCAGATCAGAATCTATTGAAATCATTGTCTTTTTAATTTCAAAAAAAAAAAATCTTCTCATTGTGCATGATTGAGTGAGTACAGTGATTATCCTTAATTCTTCAGTTACAGATTATACAATCTTCATAAGGTGAGCTAATGCAATACCATATTGAACAACTCAGCTAGATTCTTTGTTTTCCATTTTTTTTTTTCCAGGAAACTTTTAAAAAAATAACAATGCTGTTTTAATTAAAAATTTTTTCTTCTTTATTATGTGCATTGTCTATTTCTTTCTTGTTCATGAATTACAGCATTATTTTTAAAAGCTGTTTTTTGTTGTATAAAACATTTTAATACTGATTTATCTAAGACTAGTAGAAAAATTTTTAGTACATTTTTGCATACATTTAAAATCTACTTCAAATGTTGAGTATGCTTAATTTTTCTTGAGGAAACAACAGAAAATTGATAATTAAACATATCTAAATTCATGCAATGGCCATAGCAGAATAAATATGGTAAATCAGTACCAGTTAAATAATGGGATAAAAATTGGCTCAAAAGTAAGTTGCACGGAAAGAATCAAATTATTTATGTAGTTATTTTTGTTTACATTGCATTTGGCAAAATAAGTTGGTAATTTTTTATAATATAATATAGAATAAAGTAAAGATTCCTAAAAATTTTTATCCTATTATCTGATTGGAGTCAATTCACTGTACACCTGCTATGACCTTTGTCTAAAATACAGAAAAATTAGAATTTAGTGCAACAAATACTTATATGGCATTTTTGTATTTATCATAAATAATATAAAATTTTTAATTTCCATAAAATTTTAAGTTGAAATGACATTATCAGTTCATTACTCATAGAATGTTTGGGAGTAATTTGCTTGTGCTTATCACAGAATTCTAAAAAGATATACATTAAGAGAAAAGATACAGAAATTAGAAATGCAATAACAATTTTCTATGGGAAAAAATGTATCTATTTTCNAATACCATTAAATGAAAAAATCATGCTTGTGTAACTTTTTGATTTATAAATTAGTTAAAAAAGATAAAATTCCTAATGACAAAGGTCAGAATATTTAAAAATCTCAGTATATTTTTGACAATAAACAAGATATTTCTACAAAATAAAAAAAAACTATTTTATCTTTTTTACATTTGACAGTAGATATTAGTATAAATGATGCTATTCTATTTTTAATTAAATGAAACAAGGGACTTGTCAATCAGAATTTTAGAAGACTTACTTATTACAACTGTGAATCTGTAATAAAGAAAAAAGGAAAAAAGATGTATTTCTCGATTCTTCAGTTTGGGAAATATAAAAAGTTATTCAATAGGTCTTATGCTTCAATATAATGCCAAATTTTTTATATCTTTATGGCAACTTATTCCGATTTTTAAACGTTATAAAACAATAAATAATCTTGAATATCAAATTTTTATAAAATTAAATGGAACATGAGTGTATCTAGACATAACATCTCATTACAGTACTAGTGGGAATGAAAATGGTATTTGTAATAATATCATTGTCTCTTCATATCTATAATAATGTGCTAAAGCAATCTTTTATTTTTCACTTAAATGTAAATTTTTCTCTTTGCATATCCTATAGAAATATATAAATTGAAAGTAAAATATTGGTTTAATTATGTTTTTATGAATTATAATAAACACTATCTACCAAAAGTAATTATTCACTCTTTAGACAGCAGAATACAAATACATTGTTCCTGTGCAGTTCTATTATAGGTGGCAAATGGAACATCTTGAGTATACATTATTTTAATATGAATTTTTGTAGTTGTCAATGAGTAACAAGCTCTCTGAATTCGAGAAGGGTGTCATTGTTAATTGCCACCTAGTTGGCTTGTTAATTCATGTTACAACAAAAAATTGTAGCACTCTAAATTGACTCACAGTTAATACTTCTATTAATTGCAATATATAGGAAATTTTAAGAATACATCATAAATTAATTAATTAATCAACCTAAATCTTAATAGATAGGATGTTACAGAATAATGTACATGCAACTATAGAAGAACAAAACATGATGGACACTACAAGACAGGAGTTTCAAGCTGCAATTAGAGCCATCTTTCTGTTGGTCAAGGCTTGAATGTGACATTATTATGATACACTGTACACAAGCATCTAACAATAACTGTCATGAGCTAAAATGTGTCAGAATTGTTCCATCAAACAATGGAAATGCATTCTATGGATTGACAAATCCAGATTTATATTTTCCTAGTCAAATGCATGTGTTTGGATGTGGCAATTATTGGAAAAATGTCTGCTACCTGAGTTCATTGTGTCCATAGACAAATAGAGTGTAGAACGATTTCAGTCGATATGTCTCACAGATTCTTAATAATGTTTGAAGTTACCTTAAACAAATACTGAAATAGTGGACAATGAAATGCAGGAATGTATTTCATTACAGGAAGATGAGGATTGTTACATCTAGAATAACAATACTTTTATGAAAAGAATTGCAATCAACAGATAGACTAGCCAGTTCTGAATCCTGATCTCCCCACAGATGATATACACACCCTGATATCCATCACATATCCAATTTGTAGGATGAACAGGTGCTGTGAGTGCAGGCCAGTCCAATACATCGTGTACTAAACTGTTGAGCATGAATTTACTTCAAGAACAGTGGAGGAATATGAAGTTACCTGTATAGCTTGTACTAGTAGAATGTATATTAGGAGATTGTAGCCATGATAATAGCAAGAGTTGGTCCAACAACAAATTGAAGAGACAAGAATCATCCCTTTAGTATACAATAGGAATATCCAAGTATTTTTGATAAATAGTTTATTTTACTGTTTCTGTTTACTGTTACTGTTTACTGTAAAATTGCAATTTAGATTTTATCTTAAAAAACATATTTTTTTTATCATTAACCTTTTATTAATGAAAACACAAATTTATTACACTAATCAAACATGTTATTTGATTAGCTGAATACTTTTATTAAATAAACATTTTTCTGTAATTTAGATATTGCTAGAAAACCATGTACAGACGTAAGTATGGTTGGACCTCTTGTGGATCTCTTATCTAGTGAAGATAATCAGACAGTTCTGCAAGTGTGTCGTGCCTTGGCTAATATCTGTTATGATAATGGTAAGACATGCATCAGTTTTTTTAATATGATTATTATAAACAAGCTTATTTAGAAAGTTAATAAAGTAATTAACATTTATTTTATAATGAAATTTTTCATATCTAATATATTTGCATCAGATAGAATATTGCTTTCTTTGTTTTTGAGAAAGTAATTACACAAATAGTGCTATTATTCATTCCATAATAGAGATATAAGATCCACCAAATAAAATTTTTTATGATATATAGTGATACCTCAGTTTTTGTTGACTTTGGTTAGCGTCTGTTTCAGTTTTCGTCAATTTTTTCCACAAAAAATTTGTCTTGGATTTTGTCGGCATACCCAGATGATGTCACTGCTAATTTTGCAAAAACAAAGAGTGACCCATGCATTTTCCTGCTCAATGTAGCATTGTTTCTCGTTGTGTGAGCATTCTGAGTAGTGCTCATACAACAAACCCGGCATGTACCATTTTGTGTGTTAATAAAAATGAATGAATGAAAAAAAAAAAATGAAATGTGTTAGCATTACCCTGTGCATCTAGCAAAACAATTCCATTACTTTCTTTTCCCTTTTGCTC